AGATCTATAGTTTTAATAAGTAAATTACAAAAATATAACTGAACATTTATAAAATAAAACCTAATTGTAACGTATGACAGTATTTTATACAATAATATTACTTCTGGGCTTTCAGCGTTTTTCTATATTTTTTGAAAAAAATTAAATTTTTGAATTAAGTTTTTTCCGAGATACATTTATTTTTATAAATGCATAGTCTACTAAGTAATTTAAAACCAAATTTCTATTAAAATGCTTCAAACAAAAAATATTTGTGGCGCCTACTAGCACTTGATTTTAGATTTATTTAAAAGACAGAAAAGTAAGCTATTAAAAACACTTGACACAGAGTGTGAGAATGCGTGGCATTTTTTAAAACCTTAGTATTGTTTATACATACATCAAAAATATGCAGCGCTTTCTTTATTGACGTAGGGACAGTACAATAATTATAAAAACTTACCATTATAAGATTCAGCCAAAACGTATGACAGTATTGAATACAATGATGGTTAAAAATTAATTATTAATTAACATTGTAAGAGAAGCAAAACCTTCACGCGCAATTTACCAACACAAAGCAAGTAATTATAATTCTTAAACTTTGACTGGTTACCTGATAAAAATTCAACAGATTTGAAGTTGATTTAAAGATGTTTCATTATCTACAGATATTAAAGAATTCAAAATTCTCTAAATTTGGTCGATATAAAACACTTACTTATTTTGAATTTCTGCGCGCTGAAAGCGCTCTCTAGCCTACCGCGGTGGTGGCAAAAATTATTAATATTCACTAATAGTTATAAATATGAGTATGAGTATAAGAGACGTATAACCAGCCCCATTTCCTCTTGACTCTCGAACCCCGTACAGGCCTATGTTTACTTACGCCGATTTTTGTTCTTCCCCAGCAACTGCACGGCTTCACCCGTGTTTGCTGGGTGCGAATGTCCATTGCGTTCCGTACTGTCCCCTATTTGGGGCTCGAGAGCGAGAGTCGAATAGTTATAATAGCCATTCCCGGGTTCGCCGAGCCTATGCTATACGCTCGGTGGGGTATGGATGAGGGACGGGAGGGAGTTGGTTTTTGGGGGACAATTACGCCGACTTAAAACTAAGTACGACGCGGAATCCTCCTAGACCAGTCGATTAGTATTACTCCAAACATTTGGGATTACTATTTGGAGTTGGGGAGTTGTTATTTCGCTGCAGGGGTGTAGTTTCCTAGTCGAGGTCTTTGTCTTGTTCGTTATTGTCATTGTCCGTGTCCTGGTCAGATAGTTCCTGCCCTTGGTAAAGTGTGTCAGTTGTTTTTAATAGTTTTTGTCCCAAGCACGTTTTGTGGTAGAGTTCCGTCTTTGTTTATCAAATTCCAAAGCATTGCATTTATTCACTAGTCAAACAAATCACAAGCGCGATTATTCTGTTGTCTAATGTTTACAAATCTCGAGTTTGGCTATTAGGCCCTTTTTTTTAATGGGTTAGAATTATGTGTTCAATGTAAGTTTACTCTGTCAGTCCAGTGTTTATTTTCGGTCTCGATTGGGACCGCCTTACGCATTTGCTGTTGACAGACTTATTGCCCCACGCCGCGTGCCCTTCATAGGTTTTAAAGATATCCCAATAAACACTTTAACGATACCTATCACCATTAACATTGCCCGTGTAAGAATTTTTAACACTTTTTAATACAATTTTGCAATGATAGTAATTCAAAACAATTGTTTAAAGAGTAAAATATGTTCTTAACATAATCATATTTTAAAGTTATTTTAACATTTTCAAGTAAAATAAATGTTATGTTTAATGAAATGAGTACGGGCAATGTTAATGGTGACAAATAGATAGAATAGGAAAATGCTTGCTGGGATCTGCCGTATTTATATTGCAGATTTGTATCAGGTCATGCATACTCTTAAAGTAAAACTTATCAGATTTTTCCCCTTGCGGATGGCCACCTCCCCTCTTCTCCGACCTCTCCCGTCCGTCCAGTGAAAAGCCTCCAATGACAGGTGGCACCCAAGTCATTCATATCACCCAACACTCCACTCCTCAATGACCGTTACACCATTTTAGCTTGCACTCCATGAAAATGTTTGTTTCACTTATCAGTTCGCACCCCTTTTTTTTATTATTGTTGGTTTCATCTTTAAACTTTTACGTTTCAAGAGCTCTCCCGCACGCAAGTCGCGTGACGCGACGCGTCTTCTCGAGCGCTGGAACCGAACTGAAAGTGAAATATTCACTAATAGTTATCAGTTATTAATTCAAAATTATTAATTCTTATTGGTAGCTTTTTAATTGATGGTTTCCATCACCAACGTATGACAACATATAATACAATGATATTTCTTCTGGGCTTTCAGCATTTTTGTATATTAAAAAAAAATTGAATTAGGTTTGTAAATGCGTAGTCTACTAAGTAATTTAATAGTTATTTACGATATAAGTGGGATAAGAGCTTTATTAACGTACGCATGCGAAATTTGCCCAACGAGTGCGTAGCACGAGTTGGGCAATCGCAAAAGTACGTTAATAAAGCGTTATCACACGTATATTGTACAAATTTTTATTTACGCCTCTAAATGAAAAAATAAACGGTAATTATTTTTGTCTAAGACTCTAAGAATTTAGGGTTATTTTGACATTTTGACATTTTGACTTTTTTATTTGATTGGTTAAAAGCAGAGAAAACGCGTGCGTTAATGAACTTCTTATCTCACTCAAAATGAGTGGGATAAGAAGTTCTTATCTCACTGGCGTAGATAAAACTAATTTTATATTGAAATGCTTCAAACTAAAACACTTTTCACAAAGCTCCTTATGAGTTAGGTATAATGTATTAACTGAAAAATAATAAACAAACCATATTTGTTGCGCCTACTAGCACTTGATTTTAGATTTATTTGAAAGACAGAATGGTAAACTATTAAAAAAACCTAAACACAGAGTGTGACAGTGAGTGACAATTTTTAAAACCTTAATAATGTCCATACATACATTAAAAGTATGCAGCGGTTACTTTATTAAGGTAGTGACAGTACCTACAATAATAATAAAAACTTACCATTATTCGTTCCAGACATAACGTATACGATATATGATAGGTTTTAATACAATTATAGTCAAAAAGTAAGAATAAATTAATAATAAACATTGTAAGAGAAGCAATACCTTTACGCGCAATTTATCAACACGAAGCAAGTAATTATAATTCCTAAACTTTCACTGGTTACCTGATAAAAATTCAACAGATTTGAAGGTGATTTAAAGATGTTTTATTACCTACAGATATTAAAGAATTCAAAATTCCCCAAATTTGGTCGAAATAAAACACTTGCTTATTTTGAATTTCTGCGCGCTGGAAGCTCTCTCTAGCCTACTGTGCGTTTGTTTCTATATTTTATTTTCCTAATTTAGTCGATTTTTTGTTATTATATTCTATACCTACCCAAATTTATAAGAAAATTTCAAAACAAAACTTTGAAGTCAAGTATGTTCTAATGCTTATAAAACACTGTAATTTAGTGTAAACATAAAATAAATACACACAATTTTTATTTTACAATTAAAATTATGACTAATTTAAATTATATATAAGTGACATTCGGCGCTGCGAAAGTGCGGCAGAAAGTGGCAACTGCAGAAGCCTTCTGCCAGTAGGTCATAATGTGACCTACCCACCCAGTTGCCACTTTCTGCTGCATGCATGAGAAACAAAATTCCAAATAAGCTGCTAATTGTCAATATACAAAATCTACATCAGATTGAATAAGTTACAAAGGAATTTTCACTACGGATGGTTGAAATATATATGCATATGTCGGAGAATAGACATTAATTTGATTGGCGTGTTTATAAATAACAATTTGGTAAAATAAGCAATGTTGTTTATCATAAATAAGACTTAAGAAATAGATTTAGAGGAACAGCTATTAAGTCTGCAGTCCGATAAGGATGCATTAGTGAAGGTGATGACTAACGATCACCAAACGTAGCCACGGTCTCATGCGAACAAAAAGGTGGATATGTACTAACCCTCGGGGGGGTTAGATGGCCATTCTTAATCGGGCAATAAGACAGTAAAGACGCGTGTAAACCCGGATTCGTTGTAATCGTTAGTTTCATACTCTTATTTACTTTTTGTGTATAATCTTTAGCGTCTATCGTTTTGTCTAGTTAGATATTCGTAATTAAATGTACTAATTGTCGAGAATCAGATTGTTCTAAATGATGTCCAAGTCCAAGTAACGCGGCCCCGAAAAACAAGGATTTTTTGTTATTATATTCTATACCTACCCAAATTTATAAGTAAATATCAAAACAAAACTTTGAAGTCAAGTAGGTTCTAATGCTTATAAAACACTGTAATTTAGTGTAAACATAAAATAAATACACATTATTTTTATTTTACAATTAAAATTATGACTTTACATAATACAAATTATATATAATTGACATTCGGCGCTGCGGAAGTGCGGCAGAAAGTGGCAACTGCAGAAGCCTTCTGCCAGTAGGTCATAATGTGACCTACCCACCTCTATATAAAAGAGTGTGAAAATAATTGACTTTTTAAGCTATGGTTCACACTCTTTTATATTGAGGTGAGTAGGTCACATTATGACCTACTGCAGTTGCCACTTTTTGCCGCATGCATGAGAAACAAAATTCCAAATAAGCTGCTAATTGTATATACATAATCTACATCAGATTGAATAAGTTACAAAGGAATTTTCACTACGGATGGTTGAAATGTATATGCATATATGATATTAGCAGGTTAAATAAATACACAGAATTTTTATTTTACAATTAAAATTATGAATTTACATAATACAAATTATATATAATTGTCATTCGGCGCTGCGGAAGTGCGGCAGAAAGTGGCAACTGCAGAAGCCTTCTGCCAGTAGGTCATAATGTGACCTACCCACCTCTATATAAAAGAGTGTGAAAATAATTGACTTATTAAGAAATGGTTCACAATCTTTTATATAGAGGTAAGTAGGTCACATTATGACCTACTGCACATCCGAAGCACAATTTACAATGCATTTGCGAGACAAAATTTGCTTTTTCACTATCATCTTGGCAGTTGCACCAATACCATCGATGCAACCTTTTCCGTGAGAAGTTGCAAAGTAGTTCCAGTAGATTTTTATACCGAATTTGTCTTCTAAAACAGGAATGACTGCAGCGATGAATTTATTCTTGAATTGGGAAGATGGCCCGTCGCTCCAAATTTTCAATATTTTCACTGATTCGGGCACTCCTGAGAGCAGTATGTACATGTAAGGAACGATGGTTTCTTTCGTGTGTGCTAAATTGTTCGACACGAAAACCTTTGATTGGAATTTTTCATTTAAATGAAAGGCAGTAGTAAATACAGTGAGCTGTTTTTGATTCCAATGTGCACTTTGTACTTCGTCTTGTCCCTCACAGACAAAATTTTCAGCAAAATCAACTTGCAACGTTCCTTCCTCACTGAGCTGTTTATCTGTTGATCTTGGGCAATCATAATTGTTAAAAATATCTGACTGCTCGCGTTTAACGTAGCTATGGCGTAAAAATTGTGGCGATATTTTTGTTATATGTAGAAGCAAACTCTCTAGCGAATCGGATTTTTCATGTTTTTCGATTCGTTTTGAAGTGTCATTCTTTCGCCAAACCATCCATTTGACGGGAGTATTCAGTGCCATGCCACCGATATATTTCTTGAGTAGTTCGATCGGAATTCCATTACATTCATTGCATTTTGAAAACCAACAATTATGTTCGCAACTTTGCACAAAAATTGCTGAACAAATCCATTGTTATACGTTGGCATGGACGGAACAAATTTATGGAGAGCAGCGACAGCTTCAATGAAATTGGCATGATAAGAGCACATGCACATGTCATGAGGAAGGTCCTTATTCAGTTTGATGTGATTTGGTCGATGTTCTCTAAAAAAGCTCAAGCCACAGCCATCTGGAAAATGTAAATAAAAGTCACATACTGCAATCACATGAAGGAAGAACCTTTTTTAGGATTCTTGCAAGTTTTTATTACCTTTCGCTGCAGTTTTCCTTTCCTTATCAAAAATAACAAAAGCTTCTTTGACTGTCAACAGCATGTGCCTTGTTGGTAGAAGTATCTTTTCGCCAGTTTTCAGATCAAAATATCGCTTGACATCTTTTATTTTTGGTGAAATCCTGGAAATGTCATCGCGTTTATAAAATTTTCCGATTTTGTCGACCAGCTCAGAGTCGGCATCCTTTTTTTTCTTAATCCCAGATGGTGAAACGATATTTTGAAATTTATTCCTGTCGTCATCGTTCATACTTGTGACAATCTTGGCTAAAACCGCTATTTTACGTGTGTCCATAACAGGAAGTGCTTTCATGGTTTTCTTTACTGCTTTACCCAGTGCTTGTGTGGATTGATAAGATCTTGTCACATCAGTGGCTGCATTTGTTCCCGACTGTTCTTGAAGTGCATTTGTTTTTGATTTTTTTCTGTGGTTTTGTACCCTTTGACGAACGGCTGTCCGACGTTTTTCGACAATTTTCTTCATTTCTTTTAATGGCGTTTCGTCTTCTGCCTTCTTCTCCTTTTTCCGTCGCTCTTTCTGGGCTAATGCTCGTTTTTTCTTGAAATCATCAAATTTTTGCGTTTTTTTTCAATTTTTGTATATACTTTTTATTTTTCTCAGCCTTACTCAGCTTTTCCTGAATGCAAGGAATATTTTTGAGGTTAGTAAATCATCATAGTTATGATATGTTGATTATCGAGAAAAAAAGACTGCTACGTTACACATTTTTTTTAGTTTAAAACACCGACACAAATGGAAAACATGGCTGATTTTCCATATTTTTTGAAAAGTTGACCAAATGTACTCGAAAAATATCAAGATTTTTTTTTTGTCAACGTGATGGATTTTTTCTCAAAAAACGTTTTCGAATTTTGGACTGTTACGTTACATGGAAAAAAGCGCACTGTTTTCTTTCACATTAAAAATGCCGATAATCAGTTTTTCCTTGAATATGTTATTTGGTTACTTTATTTAAACCTAATTCTTTATAAAAAAAGCGAATGGCACAAATAACATAACAATCTATAAACACAACATACCTTTTTGTTCCGAGTAGCCCATTTTCGTCGATGATGAAGATACGAAGCAACAATCTCTAATTTTTCAAATCAACAACCCGTCTCGCATTGACATTTATGCTACTTGTTACTATGGGAGATGTATAACCTCAAAATAATGAAATACCCGCGTAATTTGAAAAATAAAATGTTTGCCTGTGGTTTCGGCAGGTTAAATAAATACAAAGAATTTTTATTTTATAATTAAATACATAATACAAATTAAATATAATTGACATTCGGCGCTGCGGAAGTGCGGCAGAAAGTGGCAACTGCAGAAGCCTTCTGCAAGTAGGTCATAATGTGACCTACCCACCTCTATATAAAAGAGTGTGAAAATAATTGACTTTTTAAGAAATGGTTCACACTCTTTTATATAGAGGTAAGTAGGTCACATTATGACCTACTGCATTTGCCACTTTTTGCCAAACCAACCAACCCAACCCAACACTTTTTAACAAAGGAACAACAAATTAATAAAATAAAAAAAGTTCGACAACTTCTAGTAGTATCGAATCCGGTACTTCTCGCATGCAAAGCGACCGCCCTACCATCTGAGCCATCCAGCTTAACATTAATTTTATAACGCTCGGGGAATAAAAACGGATTTACAGTGTGTGACGTCAGTAGGGACGGGAGCCACTTCGTAATATTTTTAATTTTATTTTAAAAACTTATACTTAAGTTTTAATGTGATTAACTTTTATGCCTTTGTTTTATCTTATTTTTAAATATTTTATGCTTTGATATCTAGTGAATTTTTATATGATTTTTTATTTTTATATTTTATGTGGATTCATTTGATTTGTACCTGCCAATATCTTATATGCATATATATTTTAACCATCCGTAGTAAAAATTCCTTTGTAACTTATTTAATCTGATGTAGATTATTGTAGCGAGTACCGCCCTGGATATCGGAGTGATGACTCATCGCCGATTAGTCATTGCCGGTGAGTCATCGCCGGTGACTCAGCGCTCGAACAATCGAGAGTGTGGAGCTCGCTGGAATGTTCCAGAAGACCTTGGCGCTGAATATATAAGAAACAGAGCATCACAGAGTAGTCAGTTAAGTTTTAGTACGCGCGTCGAAATAAATAAATATAAGTGCAAATAAATAGACTCTTGAACAGTAGTGATATATAAATAATTAGTAGTTAAGTGTTTAGTTGGTTTTATAGTGTTTTAAGTGTAGTTAAGTTATTAAATAAATAGTTTAGTTCGTTAATTAACCAGTGCGTGTTTTAATTCACACTACGAACAGTTAAAAACGTTACATTATGTATATTGACAATTAGCAGCTTATTTGGAAATTTGTTTCTCATGCATGCGGCAAAAAGTGGCAACTGCAGCAGGTCATAATGTGACCTACTCACCTCTATATAAAAGAGTGTGAACCATGGTTTAAAAAGTCAATTATTTTCACACTTAACTGAACTTAAGTCCCGCCTCGGGACGGGAGCCACAGCGTTAATTAATACTATGCTAGACAAAGTGTACGTCCTAGAAAAACAACATCTTCTGGGGATGAACCTGTTTCTTAAAAAATACAGAACATCAGGAAATGATTTCAACAAAATCAACGAGCTAAGGGACTATTTATTTACAGCAATAAAGAGGGTTGAAAAAGAAAACGAAGAAAACGAACGACCTACTGATTTATACCAAGATTTACTTCGACCTAGTTGATAAAGGCATGTGTGAAGATATTTTAGTTGTAACTAGAGATAATGCCCATAGAAAACTCTAAATGATTTGAGGTAGCATTTAAATAAAAATCGATCCGGACCTGTGCCTGTGATGAGCCGTCAGAAATATTTATTTTAGGTGCCGACTCCCAGCCCAGTCAAATATATTTGGAGAAAAGATTGCATTACATTTTAGTCCAAGGATTTTCGAAATCGAACATGCGGTTATAGAGTTTTCCCGACATAAGGAAATGCATTTCCAGCAGCTTTTTTGCCCGTGAACCGATTTTTTTCTATAGAAATAACAAATAAACTTTAAAATGAAGCCTCCGCTTTCAACTCTCGGCGAACTACCGTCGCGACGGAAGCAAATTATAATAGGTTTAATAAAGTTAGGAAATTGAATATTTCAGTTGTGAATACTTATAAGGAATTTTTAATATAACATAAATAAGCATAAAACTCGACGGAAAATATAATTATTTTTATTAATACTAGTTCAATAGAAAATATGTTTTCAAAGCGTTTCAAATTTTTCTGACGAGTGCTAAAAATCCGTATAATAATTTTTAATTTTTAATCCGTATAATTATTTTTATTAATACTAGTTCAATAGAAAATATGTTTTCAAAGCGTTTCAAATTTTTCTGACGAGTGCTAAAAATCCGTATAAAAACGTTTTATGTTCAATTTATTATTATAAATGTTTAATTAAAATTCCTTATTCACTTTTGACCAGTTTAGTTGACATTATAAAGCTTTGTTTATTTTTTTAAAATTAGCCAATACTGTTTGTATAACTTTTAAATTTTTAAAATGTTTGACTTGTCAATGTTTTTATAGAAATATTGTTTACAAAACACTTAATTAGTCAACAAATTGTTTATAACAAGGTGAAAAATTGACGCCATTAAATTTTTAACAAATACGTTGGAAACTATAGTCCATTCCATTTAAGAATAAAGCAGATGTCGCTGCAAAACGAGACAGGTTTACACAGGAGTACGCGGCAAATTTAAATATAATGGCAGATGTTGATAGAATATTATTATGTTATAACAAATATAGACAAATCATAGCAACCTTGAATGTATTATACCATGAAAAAATAATTTACTATACTAATTAAGACCTTTAGACACAAAAAATACTTGTATTATATTATTTTTAGAAAATAAGAAGAAATAAACTTTAATTTGAGCAACATAACCTCAATTATTTAACTGCATTCCTTATTTAAATGTCAGTTAATTTTATTGATGTAGAAAATAGTACATATTTTAATAAGTCTATCAAGTCCCTACACTGAAAAAAGTTATTTAAAAAATTAAATCTATTTATTTTTTATTATTTATTTATTGTAAGGCTTAAATAAAATACAAATGCAATTAATGAAGGTTTTATTAAAAAAAAACAAAATTTTACAGAGACGAATCATGACGTGCACGTCAAAATGACCTCACAATTTTAACTTGGTTATAGAATTTAAATTTAATACATCAATCGTAATAATTAATATTCCCTTAGAATATATTTTTTAATTCTAAAAAAATTATTTGTTATAAAGATGTAGCCTTTCCGTCATGTTCCATTTGTTTAATGGTGGACCAAATGTTACTTTTTGAAATACCACTTTCTTCAGATGTTAATATTACACTGGCACTTTTTGATTTTCCCTCATCGATATGTTTTTTTACCATATTAAAAAGTATTATTCTTTGACCTCGTCCTATATATTGGCCAGATTTGTTTTTTAGGACAGAGGGTTGGTTTTCCACATTGTGCTCATTGTTTATATTGTCCATATTATCAACATTGTCTCTTTAATTGTCGTTGTTGTTTTTCTTTAACAACGGTTAATACCATAGAACCATAATACGTTAAATAAAGCCAAAAAATCACAGAACATATAATAAATTAACAAAATATACACTTTGTATAACAGCTGATGCAATCGAATTGAATGCTACGTTGCCAATGTGCGATAAATCCAACCTTTTGAAAAGATAAATTCTTTCTATATTTAAAATATTTTTGACAAATTGACGACAAAAGCTAATATAATATAATTTTATAATTTAAATATTATAAGAACTCTTGCTGGTTTATTGTATAATATTATTATGTTAGTTTGTAAATTTGTTTTTAGAAGCCATGGCAACGCTGTATAAGAAAATATTCAGTGTATGAGAACTACGTTATATCAACATCCAACGTATTAAAAAGAGATGGATTTTAAATTTTCGCCTGTGTAAAAAAAGCCACAATTTTAAGCGTCGTGATTGGTCTATAATAAATCCTATTCAACTCAACGCCTTTTTCTTAAATTGAATGGACTATAGAGTCACAACGCACTCGCCGGGAACTGATACAACTACTTAATGGTGTTGTTCTATGTACTTAATTTAATTGATGATTTGGCGGGATATTTAAAAGTCTGTTTTTAATTTTAATATTAATTTTTTTTCTTGTAATAAAAATCAAGTTATAAATTATACAAATATTTATTTAATTTTGAATACATAAAACAACCAAAATAACGTTAACGTCAAATATTCCTCGTCTGACGGAAACATACCTTTAACCAGTGGCGGCTGGTGGATTTTGGGTATACCAATATTTCAGTTATTAGACATGGGACCCACACCAAATTTATAATAGTTTATTATTACATTAAATAAACAAGTTCGGCGCAAACAGAATTTAAATTGAAGTTTGCGAAAAAAAGTTAGTTTTT